TGCAGGACCCGTGTGTTCCCCCTCGGGCTATAAGAAGGCGGATGATGAGATGTCCGGAGCCACGTCCTCGGCGGATCTGGACGAGGCACCAGCCCGCACCATTTACTTGAACCAGCCCCAGCAGAGCAAGTTCCGCGACAACTGGGTCAGGTACGGAGCAATTCCTGCTTCTCCCCTTCCAGGCGGTAACCTGCACACCTCGCAGCTGTGGACAGGGAGGGCTCCCGATTTCTCTCTCTGATTCCCGTCCCTGCGTAGACCCTATATAATGCAGTAAGTTGTGTCTCTACCGAGGTAACCGGGCTTGTTGTCTGGAGTGGTACCGGAGTCTGGGTAGCCATAAAGGGGAGAAGTGGGAAGGAGGGACCTAGCAGCAGCAAGGGCTGAGGTTTTTGTATTAACAGTAGTGAGAGCAGGGGAGCTTGTAGAGCTCCATAGTAAGATGTGTGGAAAGGTCTTCACTTCAGTAGGTCCTCCTTCGGTAGGACCTAGGACCACTGAATTTTGGAATAACGGGACCTAATCTAGTATTCCTGCTCACATGGGCTAACCCATGAAAACTTAGTGTGAGATTTGGATAGAATCCACTCCATGTAAACTCTATGGAGTGTTCTCTTAAAAAGTAGCGTTTGATTGTGAAAACAGCTAGACTAAATGAAAAGCAGCGTAGAATAGGAAGGAAAAAATAAAAAATAAGACCAGAATAATTAGAGTTTACAAACCTGCATCCTTATGTGTACAAGGCTATGGTCTGCTTCTGTTCTCTAAAGAAAATTCCCTCTGGTCTTTAATTAGCGTTTGGAGCCTTTAATTTTGTGTAAGACTTCTGTTAGTATGATTAATGTCGTGTTATTGCTGTTTGAAAACACAAATAATGTGCACTGAAACATGGAGTATGAGGACGTGTAACATACGCAAGTTGTGGCAGTGCTGGCCATGCTTGCCCTGGGTTAGCGAGGTGAACAGATGGCTCCTGTCATGACTAAGGAGGAGCGTTATTTAGCAGGCTCCTGTTTGTTAATGCAGATGTTGGGTTATTGTTCACAGAATGGTTTACACAATGAGTGCCTTTATGAAAAGAGGGATTTTATATCCTGCTGAAATGATCATTTCCATTAGTTGGTTTATTGTATGTATCATCAAGGACAATTCTAAGAATATTCTCCGGAAGGATGCTGGTGTTCTGGGTAGTGTAGCAACTTACACAGGATTTTCTCCTCAACTTTGACTTACTTATTTCTCTGAGAAAGTCTGGTTTAGGTGCAGTTAAAATAACAGATTTTCTTAGTCTCTAGTTTCTTTTTTCCTATGTAGGCAGCAACATTGGACGTTTTCTCACTTTATTTTTGTTTTTCCTTGACTAATTGTGAGCTGAATTTGACTGTTTTCTGTGGGTAGACTACTTGTCCTTTTCCTGCTTTACAGAAATTAAAACAAGGAATAGAGGGTTGGCAGAATCTGTAGTTCAGGTTTTCCTGAAGGGTTTCTGTTCTGATCCAGTTTAATCTTATGAAAAAGTAGTGTGTGACTCTGCTACCAAGGGCTTGTTCCTGGTAGAGCTGTTAGTAACACCTGAATGCTGTTGAGTCCAGCTTGTTCTCTGGGAGCTGTCTCCTGGTAGTTGAAGTTTTTTCAATGGCTTCTTGCAGCTTTGCTTCCTAACAAAGGCAGCTTCTGTCATGAGCAATATTGGTGTGTGAGGGGTAGGACAAAATGCAGATAGTGTAGAGGGAAAGTAGAGATGCTTGCATTATCTGATTATGGATCTTAGCTCTGTAGTCTCACTTGGATATTAAGTTCACTTTATAGTAACTTGCTGCTGCATAGTAAGAAAGCTTTGATCTCTCTGACTTTAAAAGGGTGACAGGCTTTGGCCATGCTCTTTCGATCCTCTGAATTAGCTTTCTCCCCTCAAGCTACTTGGAATGAAGGTAAAGGTGACTTGAATTTGTAATATCTGAGATAAGTGTGCCTTGTGTGGATGATGAATAGTAGTGTATATTTACTCACTTCCTTATGTATATTGGAGTTTCTCTTGAGGAACTGCAGTTTTGTATTGCCCTTGGTCTTTCTTACTTCTTGTATTCAGCTTCTGGATTTCTCAGTGTTGTTGAATTTCAAGATGTATTGTCTCCATAGGAAGAATTAGTGTACCACAGTACAAGGCACTGTGTAAGCAGATAAACACCTGTGCTTACGGAAAACTATACTGAAGAAGGGAATAAAACAGCTTCTTTTGAGTCTTGTGACTTCTGACTGACACCTTTTTGGTAGTGGTCAAGGATTCTCTGAACAGCAGTTAGAATTTGGGAATGTCTACAGGAAGTTTTCCAAGTCAGGAGGCATTGTGGAATAGCTTGCTCAAAACACAGCAAGTAATGGAGGTGCTGAGGGTGGGGTCAGTGGTATGGCTTTTAGTTTATGGTGTTCTAAGCATCTTAAGCTTTTTAGCTTTTTTTGTGGGGAGAGCCACTGTTAAAGTGAATTCCTATGTTTGGAATATATTTTTTTTCAAATTTTGGACAAATGTTGTAGTTTAGGGCTGGGCTGGCCACTAAATCCTGGACAGATGCGCTCTGTTAACCCCTTTCCCCTCCCCAGAAGGGAAGAGAAAAGAGAATAAGGGAGAGAGACTTTATGGGTTGGAAAACAAACTAACAGATTTAATAAAACAGTAGTACTAATATTACAGGATAATAATGTAAATAGGAAAATAATGAAATTTATACAGATATGTACAAATATATACAGAACCAATATACAATCCTCCACCAATGACGAATATGTCACCAGAGGCTCTGCAGAGCAGGGCACTGGAGAAGTCCCAGACCAAACCCGGCAGCGGATGGGAGCAGGATGCAGGAACACATGAATCTGGATTGGAGGCAGACAAACTAGCAGGGTTCTGCTCACACCTCGGCCACTGCAGGATCGAGACAGACAGAAGGGTCCGAGATGGAAGAGCCCCAAGATGGGAGAAGGGTCAAGACCCTCGTGATCTCTCTGCTTTATACCGTGTATGACGTATGTGGGATGGAACACCTCATTGGTCAGTTTTGGGTCTGCTTCCCCCCGTAGGCGCAGACACAGCACCCATGGTGAGACAATTGGCCTTGAACGTTATCAGTACACACTGGGCAAAACATGCTGCTAATTTTCAGCAAGTTCAGCCACTTAAAAGAGACTGAGCTGAACAGCAAAATCACTAAATAGAAAATTAGTTCTAGTTAGCTCAAACTAGGACAACAAATTAAAAAAAAATTACTTAATACCACTTGTAAATAGTAGCTTTTGCAATAGCACTATGTAAGTGATTGACAAGATGGTGCTAACACTTCCAAAAATCTTCAAGTGTGAGGATGTAAAAGGAAGAACTGCTTCTTCATTCCCCAGGCTTTCTGGTGTAAATATCTGGAATTATGAGAATTTAGAGAAATGGCTAAATTTTTTGGTGCTCCTCAAACTTTGTCATGAACTACTTCAAAACCTAGCACTATAAAACTTTGCAGGCTGGATTTAGCTTGGTCCTTTATGTATGCGTATATAGATGGCTGCCACCATACTTTGTTACACTGCAGCAGCAGTGATTCCTTCTGTAGGAACATCTCTTCTACCTGCATTAGAAGCTGTTTTCATCCCTACTGTGTTCAGTTTGAAAAATTTTGTGTATGGGTAGCTCTTTGTACTTCTACTAAAAGGTAAATTATGCTCCATTTTCAGTGGAAGTATTTTAGAAGCTTTGAAATATGTTAAGGAAGAAAAAAGAACAAATATAATTACTTTGTTCAGCACAGCTGTGGTTGAGATACTAAGTATGTTTGCTTTTATGAAAGATAACTAGTAACTGTTTTGCCTTGTTCAGTATACATAACTTAAATGTCTGTTTAATAGGAACATTTCAGTAAGAAATGAAACATTCGTCTTGAAAACTTCCAGCCACTCTGTACACAGCTTTGTGCCACTTAAAGGCAATGATTATAATATGCTCTCAGCCATTCTGCATTTGTGGATTGAAGTCTGCTAACGGCTGCCATAAATCTAAGATATCCTGGATACAGTGAGAGGTAGTCAGGCTTCTACAGAGACCCCAGACAGCATTTTTTTTTCCCTTCTAGTGCACTGTGGGGAAAAAACTGTATTTACACTTTGAAATACTGGCATTTCCTTCTAATTCAGGCGTGAAACACAAAATGGTAGTGGATCACTAATGTTTCCAGCCTCTAACTCTTCTGCTGTTGGCTTGATTCAGTGTGAATGGCGGTGGTGGTTTGTACACTTGTAATATAGCAGATCAGCACAGTGTGATAATCACTGTTTAGCAGAAGTGCCAGCTTGTCTTGGTGGCTTTGACTTAATATTTTTTTGCTACCTGCGTTTGCCTGATTGCTTAAACCATAGCTCTCTATTTCTAGGTTTGATTTATGTGATTACCTGAATGGTGGGGAGGCGACTCAAAAGTCTTTTACTTTATACTTTGAAAACATACTTGCCTATTGCCTTGTCAAAGCGTGGGGAATAACACCAGGGTGTGTTCCATCAATAAATCTTGAAAAGCTTTTTACCAGAAGAGAGGTGTTCTGATATCCAGAAAATCCTCAGTTCAGAGACTTTTCTTCCATACAGTTAGCATTGACCTTTGAAACTTGCATATCCCAAGTAGTGTTCACTATGATCTGAGGTTGAGAATGTGAATGGTGGTCTGCTGTGTGCTAACACGTTTATCTGCACTTAATGCTAGAGACCAGCATTCCTCTTAAATTAAAATGTACCCTTGCTTGTTACGTAAAAGTGCCCTAACTTGTCCTCAATTTATTCTTGGTAGAGTTCAGACACAGTGGCCATTTGTGCCAGTGTTTGTATTACATTAAGAAGTTTCTTCTGTTGTCATGTGAACAGATTGCTTGGCTGACTGCAGAAAGGCATTCTGAGTTCTTCAAAGAAGGGGTGTGTTGTTATATTCTGAATGGTACAAGTCTAATCGCGTATTAAACTAATCCTCTAACTTGTTTCAGTTCTCAGCAGATACTGTTCTTAACTGAAAAGAAATACTCAGTGATGTTATGAACTTCTCATAAAAAAGCAAAAATTTCATTTTCCTGTAGAGCAGCTGTTGCTGATTCTGTAATCTGTCACAATGAAAAAGGCTTGGG